CGCTCGCGGAGCCTCTCTGGAGCCGCGCTGCCGGCCTCCGCGCGCCGCTGTTGGCGCCCGGGGCCCGGCTCGTAGCGCCCGGCCGCGCGCTCGGAGGGGCGGCAGCGCGGGGCGCGCCCGCGGCGCCTCTGACTCGCGCGCTTTGGTGTTTCAGGAGCTCCGTCCTGCCGCCGCCCGCCGCGGGCCCCGGCGGCTCTGCAGCGGGTCCCGGCGCCGCTCGCGGAGCCTCTCTGGAGCCGCGCTGCCGGCCGCAGGTAACGCTCGCGGGAAAGGCCCTGGTGTCCAGGCGAGCGCCGCGGAGATGGGGTGCTGAGGTTGCCCTCGCAAACGGCATCCCGTTCCCAGAGGTGCCCTGCGGTGTTTTGCCTCCCCTCGTGCCCAGCATCAAGGTTTGCAGTAGGTTTAGCTGCCCKGGGTTTGCTGTGTGGCTGTGTAGCTGGACCCCAGTCCATACTGCTCTCTCATTGAGGTCTTCGCTTGTGGCTCCCATTCAGGTAGGTTCAGTGATTCCTGACGCTGGTCTTTGCTCTGTCTCACACTTTTTCTTCTAGGCTTGGAGGAGCAAAGCCCTCTTTCAGGAGACTTTCAAGTGAGGTGCCTTGATGTCCCGTGGCCTGTTAGCTGAATGAGCCCCTGCCAGGCTTGGCTGTGCAGGAGCTCTCCTGCTTCCTGATAAGGTGAGTTAGCTGCTGCAAACTGGAGGAACTCACTGTTCCTCCCTTCAGAGACACTAGCTCCCACCTTGGGCTGAGCTGCTGCCTTGCCCTGGGAGGTCAGCTGGGGACATGGAGTGTTTGGTGTCCCTTGGCCTCTGGAGGGTTTTGTGGCTGCTCAGTAGCTTTGAAAGCCAGGCTATAAGGTGTATTTCATCAGCTGGCAGGTCTCTCTTAAATGCACATTTCTGTTCTAACTGTATTTTGTCCACTGTCATCATTCCCTACTCTATATGTTAATGCGGTCCATTACGTGGTGATGGCTGCTTTAGTAGTGACTTGTGAATTTTTATTAGCTTTCAAATAGAATAATGCATTTGCCATGCCCACCTGCTGCTTAGCTCTAGCTTTTAAAAAAATACATGTATGTATACACACAAAAACAACACGTAGAGTCTTTTGGTATTTTGCTGGTGGAAACTTGAGGCTGTGTGCACCTTAGCACATTGGTGCAGACATCTTCATTTTTTGCTTTAATTGGAAACTCCCTGCTGGACTTATAAAACCATCTTCGAGAAAACAGCCTTTGTGTCTGGTTATCTGCTATTGAAATTCAAATTGGAACTTCCATGCAACCTGCAGCGTTGGCCTCACAAATTAAGTCTCTTGGCACAGGCTTTTCAAAGGTGATGGAAGTAATTTGCAGATGAAATTTCAAGCTTGATTGATGAAAAACATCCGTGCTGGAGGCCTGATAATGCATTTATAAGCTCTGGCTGTGTAAGGTGGATTATAGGACACGTGCCTTTTAAACGCAATAACTGACTTTTCCTGGAACATGAGACTGACTAAATTTCCAAGGTGAACTCTTGTAGGGACAACTAGGCCTGGAGATGACTGTGTTTTAAGCAGTAGATACTAGAAATATCTGAGGCTGGTTGGAGAAACTGGGAGGACTCGATTYACATAATTTTTCTTACTTCCTTTTATTTTACAAAGGTACAGACCAAACTTTTCTCTGTGAAGCTTTAAATAGTTTTGACATCCCCACTTGCTCTGACACCGAGTAAAACCTCAGTGTTAACTGGACATGCTCTGCCCAGGGTCATCCAGCTTGGAAATGATCTTATGTATTGAAAGTRCTGTAAAGCAGATCCATCCAGGATTGATGCCACCTTCTTTTCAGTGGTATCATGGGAGAGCTGGACATGAAAAGGCTGAACCTGGCCTGGATGCCCTTAGCTGGATCCCACACCTGAGCGCGTTCAGATATGATTTGCGCTTGTTTTAGGGTTTTCTTGTTTTGTTTTTTTCCTTTAATTCTTACTTTATGTTTGGTACAAGCTCCTATCATGAGGAACAATTTCACTTGGACAAAGCTGGAAGAGAAGGTGGTGAGTTTGCCAGCGGTCGCGTGCGAATCCTTGGCTGCTGTAGGTTGTTACAGCTCTCTTGCAGAGCACTGGCAGCCTGCACTGCTCAGCGCCTGCCCTTTGAAGTGTGTGAATCGAGATCAGATGTCTTCCTGAAAGAGATGTTCATCCCTATTAGCACGCAGCTGGCACGGAGTTCCTGTGGTAGGTGAGATGCTCTCCCCCACACAGGGACATACTGAATAATTGCTGGATGAGGCACCGCGGCTTGTGCCGCACAGGAAGCCTTCCTAGGTGATCTGCATGGCCTGTTTGTATGTTTGTTTTCCTTCCTACCCTTACAAATCTGCCTCTAAATATAAAAAAGAAAAAAAAAATGAGGTCAGCGAGAGGTAATTCTGGAGGAGAAAAGTGTTTCATTCGAGTAGCTGGGAAGAAGCTGCAAAGCTCTGATTTGTTTCTTCTGTAATGTTTGCTCCCTTGGGCTGAAGTTGCTGTTCCCTTGCTGTGAATTGGACATGCAGGAATTGATGGAGCTTGTGAGGCTGGCGGATTTGACTGCTAGAGTATAAGGGTGAATATGAACGCAGGTAGAAGCTCACTGTTTGCTTTGGAAACATCGCCCCCAGTTCCTGCAGCTTTTGGCTGCTGACAATCTAAGAAGGTTATAAAACAGGTGAGACCCCCAGGGTACATGCAATAGGTTGCCCTTTCCTGGGTGAAATGCTGCATCTTCCTCCAGTGGGGTGCAGAGGCCTCATAAGAACCATCCACCTCTAAGTAAGGGTCCCGAGGTGGCTTTTTCTTGCTGAGGGTTGTGAATCTGGGAGCTGTGGTTTGGGCTGTGTCACCACCTTTCTGGAGGCCTTTAGACAGGTAGGATATGGTTCCCCCAGGAATTTGCTGTGACTTGAGAAGTCTTTGTGCTTGCGACCTCTTCAGTGCTGCTTAGCGGCACGGTGAGCCAGATCAGGATGATGATCTAACTTCAAAATTCCTAAGTCTCTTTTTTTCCTTCCTCCCATTATCGCTCGTTCCTGTGAGCAACTAATCCAGGCTATGTCAGCAGGAGCAGGTGACAAGAACAGCAGAAGCCAGTTTCAATGTTCAGTGAAGCCCTGCGTTCACGCCGCTGGTGYGTGGAGAGGCGCCAGCACGGAGCTGCTGGCGGTGGTGCCAGCCCGGTCCTGTCCCGGCTGCCTCCGCCCGCAGCGGCCGTGTTGCCAGCCCGGAGCCGCGCRCTGGATGCCCCCTGCACAATGGGTCATACACAGGATAAAGACCAATGTGAGAGGCTGCCTTTTCCATCGTGCCCTTCCCTCCCTCCCTCCCTCCCCGTTGGAGCGGGGCCTTGCTGAGCACTGGGAAGGCATATTAGGCGCTTGCTTTCTCCATTGTTCTGCGGGACAATGTGGTGCGAAGGCAGGAGCAGGGCGGGGAGCCAGAAACAGGAGTTCTCAGCCCCGTTCTCATGCTGAAGGGCCAAAAAAGTCAGGCAGGGGCACTTAATCTTTTTGACAAAGTCTGCATTTAAATTTCCCGCCTTGGGCCGCTTACCTGTGTGCTGTCCTGGCCAGGCAGGTGGCTGAGAAGTTGCCTTAATGCAGTGTGGGAGTTGTTCTCCCCTGCTGTGTTCGCTGCCTCTGAGGGCTCCGCTGTGTGGCCTCAGGAGCTGGCTGCAGCGTTTGGGGTAAACTGCAGCAGGAAAAGTAACGAGGTGCAGGGGCAAAGAGTCACTGCAAAGAGCCGTGACGGAAGGGGCAGTTTTTATCCTGTTGGATTTGAAGTCTTTGCCCCTCAGTGTCGCGGCCAGAGGGGAGATGGAGAAGAGTCTGTCTCTGGTGCTGGTGACAGGGACAGTTTGCAGCCTGTGTCAGATTCGTAACTGATRCGTGTGGCAGGACCTATAGTCCCACGGCACCCCTCCTCACATCTGCCCGGCGCCGGGATCTAATCCTCTCTTTGGGAAGGAAGTTGGATCTAGGCAGTCTGTGCTAGATACAGTGATGGGCCTGGCTTCTCTTTGTGTGTTAATTCAGCTCTTCCTGCATTCCCTAAGCATGCAGGGAGCAAGGGGAGACTGCAGGACCTCTTTCCCGTCCCTCCTCCCTGAGGGGTTCAGCGAAGCCTCTTCGCAGCCGTTGCTGCTCCTGCAGAAGTTCTTCCAGGTGCTTTCCAGGCGTGCGTCCCACAGGCTGGGTGAGCCGAGGGGAGCCTCCCGCTGCTCTTCCCTCCTGCCTTGGCTGTGGCTCCCGACCCACGGCGGCGTCGGGAGCTGCCTCTGCGGTGGGTCAGCGGGACGCTGGAGCGCGTTACCTGCGCCGGAGCGGCGCCTTGGCCTTAAATCCGCTTAGAGAGCGGGGAGAAATAATAGTAACCGGTGAAGTAGAGGAATATCCACACTGGATTTTGTGAATATGTTTAGGGCAGCTTTATCTTGGTTTAGCTTGGGGAGAATTTGCRCCACTTTAACTAAATTTGGGTTTAAATCCACTTAAGCTAAGCCAGTGCAACTTTTGTGTGGAGGACAGGCTGAAATCTCATTAATTTTAATAGGATTAAGCATGTTCTTTTTGCCGAGTCTTCTTCTCTATCTTTCTTTGTCTGGCTTCTCTGTATTAGAAAGCAGGATAAACCTCTCCCGTCCTCCATCCCTAAGAAAAGGCTTTGACAGTCTCAGCAGAGTTGCTTTCTGACCGTGTACAATAGTATTTCACATATATACCTTATGTTTCAGCTGTAGCCCTTCTGTGTCCAGCCTTCTGTTGGTTTTTGTTTCCCCTAAATGCTTCAAAAATCCTCTTGCCAGCAAGAAAAGAGGTACAAGTGTTTGCCTCCTCAGTTTGCACTCTCACAATGTTTGTTTGTTTTTTATTTTGCTCCACGTGAGCTGCTTTGAAACCGCTATGGAGCAAGCCCACTGCTTGAAGGGAAATAAGTACTGTGGGTCTAGGAGAAAGCAGCCATCCCTTAATGGGAAYGCAGGGCACTTGGTGCTTCAGGCAGGTCGCTGGGTCTTCCCGTGCCTCCTGTTCCCCACTGCCACTCGAGGGAGGGTCGATCTCGGCCTCGCCTACACCCTGTTGTTTGGACTGACCTGGGTTACAAAGATCACGCTGGCTYATCCGTATCAGCAGATCCACATGGAGAATTGCCTCTGTCGTCAGCGTGTCTGTCCTGGTGCCCCGTTGAGGCCCTTGCTGCTCTGGCAGAAGTCCCATTGGCCAAAGCATCTGGACCTGAGCTCCCATATCTAGTTAGGAGCAGAGCGTGCAGAAAAACTCGTGGAAGSAAAACTCTCCTGAATTTACCTGAAGGCTACCAGGAAATTTGCTGCCTGCAATGGGATAAGAGTGGGAGTTCCTGGTGGAGGAGAGAGGTCCTGTAATAAGCTKAAATGCCCAATGTCAGCGCAAAGGATGTGTCTGTGAAATCCCTAAATCTCTACCCAGGGTCTTCGGGATGGTTGTCCGGTTGTTAACTTAAGGCTAAACCATATGCATTAATCTAAACATTTTTTTCTCCTTTCTCAATTGTGTTGGTCCAGAGCTGTTCCTGCYGAGACCCATTTTCTTTTGGGTTATGCTTTCTCATGCTTCTGAAGCTGTTCCTTTCCCAGCTCATCTAGAACAAYGTCCTTGTCCGTAGGTG